TGTACTTCTGATAAAGTATCTTTATCAAAAGTTGCTTTAATGCTACTATTTCCTATTTAAAATGAAATGAAATATATGTTATAAATTATTATTAATATAAATAAAAAATATTAAAGAAAATCACCTGCTATTATTGAGCGTGAAGTTACACTATCATCCGAAGCAATAATGTTTTGGATCATTGCTTGCAGCTCATCCTTAATACCCACTGGTGTGCGTTCTGGTGGTGGTGGTGGATGATTGTGCGTACCTATACATACTAATGCAATATAGGGACATGCAGCCAAATCATATGGAATAAATTTAATGAACTGCACATTGCATTTTCGCTCAATTATAGTTCCTCGCATAACTTGACCATCTTGAATATGTGGAAATTCTTGATAAAATAAATTAGTTAAATTCATTATATAATTATATATATTTTTTTATATATTAATTAATTAAAATTAATTTTACCACATAAACTTATTCTTGAAGCACGTGAAACTATGGTGCAGCATTGATTTTCATTATTATTCTCGTCAATCTAAATTCATTATTACAATTAATAGTATCACATAAATTAATAATAAAACATATAAAATACTTACAACTCGTCCTTGAAAAATATCTCGTAATAATTCCAAGTCAATCTCCCCTGGAACTTTAATATAGCGATGCCATTTTTCCCCTCTAACCCATTTGTCACATCCAATAATATACTCTTCACCTCCATTTTTAATAATTCTTCTTAATTTTGCTTGGCCATCGCAAAGTTGATTGTTAGATTTATATTTACAAGCTGTTGATTTTGCAGCAAGAAAAAATCTAATAATATGCAATAAAAATGTTAAATTTTTTTTTAAAAAACAAATAATTATATAAACTTACGTGTAGGTTTTAGTCTTTTTATTGTGCTGATGTTGGTTTAATTTGATAAACATTTCTGATTCCATATCAACTTCGTTATGCTGCTCATTAATAAAATCTGGATCTGCAAAGGAACAATGTTTGATACCTTGACATTTTCGCACATCTTTCTTTACTGGTACTCCAAAATAAGGACAATTTTGGATTGAAATTGATCCTCCCGCTCCATTATTAGAATATTGGATCTAATAAATAACAAAAATACAAGCAGCAAAGTTATTAATTAATGGCGAAAATTTTTAATAGTGAAAAATACTTACATCATTGAAACAAGCCATTGGGTTTGCCCAGCCAGTAACATTAAATACTGTGGCTATTCCTTGTGGTGAAGTTTTAGGATATTCAATAGGAAAGGCTGAATGTATAACCTCTGAAACTGAAAGGTATTTTGTGAAGAATGCTATCTGTTCTGCATCTTCATTAGCATCCTAAACAGATATTAAAATTTCAGAAACCCAGAAATCATATTCAAATAGTCATACTAAACCTGACTTTATTTAATATAAAATAAAAACATAATAAAAGAGCAAACCTGTTCATCCATTAATTCAGAATATTCATTTTCAGATATAGTTTCATCATCAGATATAGTCACAATATCTGAAAGAATAACAGGATTTACTTTAGACATAGTGATAAATGTAATAGAAATATTTTTAAATGAAAGTAAAGGTAATAAAAACGCGATAGCAATATTTATTTTTAAATGAAAAAGTAGTAATAGATGTAAAAATATTTATTTTTTAATAAAAAGAAAAGAAAGATTATAGTAATACGCGTTGAATTGTATTAGCCAGTACACAATCATTATGAAAAATGTGTAAATAGTTAAATTTGGAAATAAAATGTGTGGCATTAAATCAAAATTACCATATTTATCATACAATACATACATAATTAGAAAACACCATACATTACATACATTAAAAAGTTTTAATAATACAATACATACAAAGCTAACCATACAATACATGTTTGCTATATACCCCATTTTCAAAAACTCCAAATGTAAAATTTATATAGTAAGTCTGTCCTTGTTAATTATTTTCTCCCTGCTACTGTAAGTCTGTTTTACCAAGGTAATCAACAATTCTTTGCTTTATAGCGGGGAAAGTCACTCTGACGCAGATAGAGATGAAAAAACTTCTCGATCGCCATCAGAACGAACCGGAAAACCTTGTGACTTTATTTTTTGGGTAAGTTTTTTGCTTGACATTTGGTGTAAACATATGATTTCAACTGACAGAAACAAATCTGCAGAAGAATGGCAATGAAGTTGGTATCGGTGAGAACACTGGACCAACGCATAAGGATCATCATGCATAAGAAAAGCATCACCGATTTTGTTGACGTAATCAAGGTTGCCCGAGCTCAGCACATCAGTTTTCAAACTAAATGCATAGAAAAGAGCGGAAGTAATCCTCTCCCATTGGATATTCAGAATAAATTAAAGCTTGTACCAGTTCCTTTCTTTCAAGTGATCGGAATGACGATCCGATTTTATATTTTAATTCAAATTGACGGTGACTTATATGGTATATGGGAATGGTCATCCCAGGATTTGCCAAAAGAAGAAGACGACATCATTACTGCTGTGTTTTTATGTAAAAAATTTTTGATTCACAGAGTAGGTTTTTTCCTCTATCTGTTTTTTACTGGTTTGCTTTACTTCTGACCAAGGTACCATTTTAGAATCTTCTCAACAGAACTGGCCGCCTAAGTAAAAAAGTTATCACAGATTCGCGAATTTTTGGAGAAAATGTAGAGAACATGCAAGTTCCTCGATATGTCAAGGAGCCAATTAAACTGAGTTCTATAATAACTCCAAGAACAAAAAGAGGGGTAATTATAATTAATTATATGTCGGCTTTCTTAATATTTTACATCTCATGTAAATTTGTTTTTCTTGCAGTCAAGAAAAGCTTCATGTTCACCGTGTCCAAGATCGAACTGAGAAACATTTCTATACCACATATGTGATGTGCTTATCTAATCAAGGTAGTATATTGATTGATGGATTTCGAGATTGTCTTTTATTCAAATATTTTAATTTAACTTGCGTTAATTTAACTTGCGTATAACAATTTGTGTCATTTATTTATTTTATGAAAAGCAGGAGAATTACGATTCATAAGAATAAAGAAGAGCGGACACCATTATAAAACTTCGTCCAAATCAATAAGGAGCGGACCCTCGCTAGAAAAGCCGTCTATTCCAGTTCGGAAAAATTATATGCCGATCAATTTGATTTCGCCATGTGACTTCAATTGCTTTTGTATTGAATAAATAAAATCGAAAATTTTCTTGGCAAAGCGACTAGCGTAACACGGGAAACGTAGCGAATGAACTTTGTATTTAATTTTATATTTGTAAATATACATAAAGTAATTGTTATATAAATAGTTAAGTATTGTTCTAATATTGTATTATTAATGTTTGAAAGAATTTCTTTTAAAATTAATTCTTCCACGTATGAAATTATTTTTTTTTAAAAACTAATTTCTGTATTGTCAATCAAATGTTTCTTTTTTCGTCATTAATAATTTAATATTATAATCATACCAAATAAAGGCTTTAGAGCGAATTTCGGTTTCACAATTTGGTTTCACAATTTATGGAACAATATGTATATGTTGTGGCGAAATATGATACGATCAACACGATCAACACGAGAAGAAATAATTTAAGGGAAATTATGCGGCGCAGAAGCTTCAGCAAAATGAATTTTTTGCTAATTATTTTGAGAGATAGGCATATAACATAAATAAAATATAAATATACAAAGCTTAATAAAAATTTATACTTATTAAGGCTGGCAATATAAGCAAGATAATTAGTAAATTATTTAAGTAATCTTCATAATTAAAAGTTGGAATTAAAAAATTGGAAAAATAGATAAATTTTGATCCAAAATAAGGTAATATTCAGAATATAAAATTTAACGTATTTTAATTCTCTTAATTAGAAAAATTAGTAATATTTTTATGATTATATCACCCAGAAGACATCACCATAAAACTAATTTTAATCTTTTTTTTTTAAAAAAAACTTTCTTCGTGACCAATCTTGAACTTCTTTTCAAAACAATAATACTGATTTTTGGATCAGTTGTTTCAGTTTTCACAATGTATTGTATATTATCAATTCATACTTAATTGAATTTTTAATTCAGAGTAAAATATTAGCCAAATAAACTCGTTATATATAAAATTATTTACGAATCACTTAACAAATTGTTTATAGGTGAAATCGCTTAAGTGATTTTACTTAGGAAGAAAGTTAAGCAAAATTCTTTTTTTTTTTTTTTTTTTTTTTTTTTTGATCATTTTTTCATTTTTCATTTTATTATTTTATTCATTTTTTATTAAAAAAAAATATATATATTTTTTATCCATTTTTAATTGAAAACAACATTTTTATTCATCCATTTTTTAATTAAAAAAAGTCTTTTGATCATTTCTCATTAAAAAACATTTATCTTTTTTTTGGTTTTTTTCGTATTTTTTTTTTCGTTTTAATTTCATTTTTTATTAAAAAGATTATTTCATTTCTTTTCATTTCTTTTTATTATTAAAAAACCATTTTTTTTTTGTTTTCTTTCTGTTTATATTTTTTTTTTAAAGAAATTGCTGTTATAACTTTAATACTCTCTAAGGATGTTATATACAAATTATGAACCTATTTTTGGTTACGTGTATATTTTTGATGGAATTTTTTTGTCACATCAAAATTATAATATGTCAGATATACAACGTTAATATTTTATAGTACATGACTAAAAAATTTTAACTGACCTGACCTTTTTATGTACAGTATATTTTGGAGTGCGATCTGATAGCTTTTGCTGAATGATCATTTGGAAAGGTTTATTTCCAAATCTAACTTGTCGTTCAAAATGCATAAAGTTACAATTGCGTGACAAATTCAGATAAGTAAAAAATAGACTCGTAATTTACTTTTTATAAGTTATATACTGAAAATTTGGGCATAAAAGAAATTTTTCTGTAATTTTATCATTAAATAACGCAGTAATTAAACTTACATCAGAAAATTAAAAACCCAAGGACACATGAAAGTTTATTTAGCACGTTTAAATTGCACAATATTTTTTACAAATTATGTCTTTCGAGTTCCCAAAAATCGTATATAATTCAAAAATTCAGTTTGATAAGATCTTTTTTTGGATGATTTCTCTGGCACTTTTTTTACACCTATTTTTAGTGACAGCTTTTTGTGCTAATTATAAAAATTAAAAAACTAATGAATAAATATAATTATTCCTCACTTATCCGATGTTCAATATACACCTATCCATCAATTTTTTTAGCAAATTCGGTAGTATGACCGTTTAGAGAAAGTCATTCTTATTTATTGTTCTTCGGTGTATCTTTACAACTGATTTGCTTTATATTAAAAAAGTTTCTATTCTTTTACAAATTATTTATTTTTATTGAAAAAAAGGGAATAAATACATTGAATCAATCAATTAGAGCATAGTTATTAATAATTATATCTTCCTTTTTGAAACAGAAATAAAAAATAAAAATTTGATCAATAACTTACTATTGATCAATTATTTGAAACACTTCACATTCTTCTACATCAAAATTATTTGTGGTTTTTCTAATTGATTTCTCATAAGAACTTTTTATACTACGACAATATTCTTTCCTTGTATAATAATTTAATCTCAATATAGTTAGATCGCCATCACCAAATGACGGACCCATTATAGATGAATTTATTAGAGCTTTACATTCATCCATTACACGACTTAAAATGTGATCTTCAATTCTATCATTATTAAAAGAAAATATAAAACTATCTTTAGTAATATTCCATACATTATCCGATTCCCATTTAATTGGATTATATCCTCCAAGAATTTCATTAGTATCTTTCACTTTAATAATTGTTACTGTGCGAGATTTGTTGTCACAAATTTCGTGAAATTTATGTCGTGTAAATCCATCGCGGGATCCGCGAAACAATAATTTAAATTCATAAGGAGAAGTTAACTCGTCAGTAATTTCTAATCTATCGATCCATTTTGATATCAATTCAGCATGTTGAGATGTAATAATTTTTGAATCAATAGTTCCTAAGTTAACTTTCTTAGTTATACAAGGTTTTGACTTATCACTTGGCTTGATATTAGGATCAGAAAGACTTATAAATGTTTTTAGTAGATTTACATGTAATTCTTCAGGTAAAATTTCTCTATAAGGAAATACCTCATCTAAAAATTCTTTAGACGTTAAATTATCGAAATTAATAAATGGAATAAATTGTTGTAAGGTGCTCTTTAAAGTGTTAAAATCGTCTTTTGAATAGTTTGTGACATTAGAAGGAAGTTCTGGATGTTGTGCGAGTCCCCATTTAAGAACGTATTTCCAAATTTGAATTTCACTCATTTGAAGATTGTCATTTTGAATTATTGTGATCAAAAGTTTTTCTGGAATTGAGGAGAAATTTAATAAGTTAAATATTTTAACTGGCTCTTTTGCCATTAAATCGGTACAATATTTTTGAAGTTCAGAGAAAGAATTATTTTCAAAGCTTGTTTGATATATTAAATTAAAATTTTGTTCCATCCAATTTGTTTTGTTTTTAATCAAAAAAGATTGTAAATAGGGAATTAATTCCTGAAGACTAAGTTCATTAGCGGCAACTAGGATTTGAATTATAACTGAATTATCATATTCATTTAAAGAAAGGTTTCCACCATAAATATACCTAAAAAAAAATAATTATTTATAGAAAAAAAAATTATTTTATTTAATTATTATTAAAAAGCGTCAACTATTTTTATCATTATAAAAATTTTTTTCTTACCTCAAAATTATTTGAAAAATTTCAGGAGAAATATTTGGTAATTTAATGTGTCAAAATATCATCATTTTTCTTTTTATTCTTAGTTGATAAAATTCTTCTCAAGTAAGGGGAACGATAGTGTAATATAACCATATGAGCACGAAATATTTTTATATAAGGATCATTACCAACTTCAATAGTAATATCATAATATTCTTCATCATTTAAAATCTCAAGTAAATTTTGTGATAATTTTGGTAATAGTTCCATTATTATTTTTTTTTTCTTTTTTTTCTTTTTTTATAAAAGAAAATGAAAATGAATCCTAGTTTGTGGATGATTCAGCCTTATATAACTAGTGTATCTCGTACAACGTTGAACACTTATGCACGTGACTAAATTTTGCATATACGACAATCATGTTTTCTTACTAGTATTATGGGAACTCAAAATGAATTAAGCTATAATGATAATTTGGATCATTTGTCTTCCAATCTAACGACAAATTTTTCTTCGGGTTAGTAAAAAAATTAAAAAAGGCTCACAGATCTTAATGATCAACAAAGTTGGTTTTTTTACTTTATAAAAACAAAATGCAGTACGAAAAACAGAAAATTAAAAAATAAATTTATTAAAGGATTAGATTACGATATATTTATATACGGACGCGAGTAAAAGAGAAAATAAAAATTCGATAGGTTTGGTTAAAATGAGCGCGTCGAATAAAGTATTAGATAAAGAATATTTAAGGATATCAAATAATTTTGATGTTATGGAATTGGAGTTAATGGCAATCTTTATAGGTTTTACTTCAGAGGCTAAAGTTAAAATTTACACGGATAATATGACCGCGGAAACAATTATTTAATCGCGAAGAATTGAGAATTGATGTGGTCTACAAGGACAATTTGGAATATTCAATCTATAGCTTTGTGGAAATTGGTATATAAATTTATTAAAGATAATAATTTTACAACAATTATTAATAAAGTTAAATCTCATTCGAACGATTAAGGGAATGACATGGCGGATGCGTTAAGTAAAATGTCCCTCGAAAATAATGATAATTCAGAAATATTTATTAGTATAAACGATGAAGTAATATGAGAATATTTAGCTAATTGGAGAAAAATATTGATTAAGGAGAGCCCTAGAGAATTCATGAAAAAATTAAATCAATATAGGTATAAGGCGGAATGGTTATCCCTAGACATATGCAGGTCGATGCGAATGAAAATAATAGATATTGAGATTGGAAATTATCATTTGAGATAATCATGAAAGAATTTAGATCAGATATTTCATAGAATAACAATGAATGCGTGGCGTTTAATATTAAAAATTACTTAGAAATTTTACCTACGATGAGCTTTATTAAACAAAAGAAATCCAGAAATTTATTCACGAAGTATATGTATCAGATGTAATAGAACAGGATACATATTTGGATTTGTAGTGAAAACAATGTCACAATGATTCAATTAATCAATGTAGCATACGATCAGTTGAAAGAACGATTAGAAAAAAGTAGTTATTAAAGTTGATCATAGGTTACACGTCAAATTATTTAATATATTGAATGAACGATCTTTAATGATTAATGGAAGAATTTTTCACGAAGCTATAAAAGTGATAGTTTAATAACAAAAGTTTATTTTGTGAAATTTTAAAGATGCGATCAAAGAATTTGTATCACTAGCTAGGAAACATATATGGAAAATTAGATGTGAGGATATTAATCAATAAGAATTAAGCAAAGGTATTAATAGAAATGTTAAACAGACGGGAAACAGGAATTGCTCTTTAATTCCTTGTTATAATGTTAATGAGAAAGTTAAACAAAAGTTTGTCAAAGATACTTTGGATAGATGGGTAGGTTATCATTTAAAGACGGGAAATAATATTAAGGAAATATGTACGATGTTAGATTTATCGGATTTATGGAATTATCATAATTTAGTTGTATTTAGAAGTTCTAGGGAAGAATATTCTATATTAGATTAGATATTAGATTAGATACTTTATTGATGTGATACTTTTGTGTCTATATTATAATTGATTATTGATTATTTAGTATAATTTTTTATAATACTAATAAAGAGAGAGAAAAAAAACAGAAAACTAATGACATGACAGTTTATTTAACATAAAATGTTTTATAAAAATTGTTTTTTGAGTTGTCAAACATCACACTTTATAAAATCTTGGATGATTTCTTTGACACTTTTTTTTTACACGGCACAATATTTTAATGGTAAAATACAAAAATTAAAGAATTGTTAGATAAATTATAATTTATCGGATAATTCTTTCTATCTTAATCATCTCTTTCGGTAATTTATCCGCCCATTAATAATAATTCTGCCTTTTTTTTATAAATTCGATAGTATAATCACGCTTGGGAACTTCATTCGGTACATGTGGCGTCCGTTTATGCAAAGACGTTCTTATTTATTGTTCTGTGTATCTTTACAACCTTTTTTTTGCTTTTACAAATTTTATCGAGAAAAAAAAACAGAGAATCTATCAATTAGAATATAGTTTCATTTTTATGTATCATAAATTTTAATAATCCCAATTTATTAATAATTATATTTTTCTCCTTCAAAATAGAAATAATAAATTAAAACCTGATCGATATAATCAGTTACTATTGATCAATCATTTGAAAAACTTCCCATTCCTCTACATTAAATTTATTTTCAGTTTTTCTAATTGGTTTTTCATAACAGTTTTTTTTACTCCAACAATAATCATAAAAATAAGACTCTTGAATACCACTTATTTCACACAATTTCCATATATTAAGGTCACCATCACCAAATGTTGGCCCGCAATCACGACCATTATATATGGCTTTACGTCCATTCATTACACGACTTAAGATGTAATCTTCAATTCTATTAGTATTAAAAGAAAATATAAAACTATCTTTAGTAAAGTACCAAAAACCATTAGATCCCCATTTAATTGGGTTATATCCTCCAAGAATTTCATTACTGTTTTTCACTTTAACAAGTGTTACTGTGCGTGATTTGTTGTCACAAATTTCGTGAAATTTATTACGTGAAAATCCATCCCGAGATCCGCGAAACAATAATTTAAATTCATATGGAGAAGATTCGTCAGATTCGTCAGTAATTTCTAATCTATCAATCCATTTTGAGATTAATTTGGCATGTTGAGATGTAATAATTTTTGAATCAATTGCTTTTAAATTAACTTCCTTAGTTATACAAGGTTTTGAATTATCAGTTGGCTTGATATTAGGATCCAAAAGACTTAGAAATGTCTTTAATAAATTTATAAATAATTCTTCAGGTAGAATTTCTCTATAAGGAAATACTTTATCTAAAAATTCTTTAGATGTTAAGTTGTAGAATTTAATAAATGGAATAAATGTTAAAATCATCTTTTGAATAATTTGTAATATCAGAAGGAAGTTCTGGATTTTGTGCATTTCCCCATTTAAGAACATGTTCCCAAACTTGGATTTCACTCATTTGAAGATTATCATTTTGAATTATTGTGATCAAAAGTTTTTCTGGAATTGAGGAAAAATTCAATGAGTTAAATATCTTAACTGGTTCTTTCGTCATTAAATCAGTACAATATTTTTGAAGTTCGGAGAAGGAATCATTTTCGAAGCTTGTTTGATATACCAAATTAAAATTTTGTTCCATCCAATTTGTTTCATTTTCAATTAAAAAGGATTGTAAATAAGTGATTAAGTCTTGAAGACTAAGTTCATTAGCGGCAATTAGAATTTTAATTATATCTGAATCATCATATTCATTTAAAGAAATGTTTCCACCATAAATATAACTAAAAATAAAATTTTATAAATAAAAAATTTAAAAAAAAAATTATTTATTATTTATTAAAAAAGCGTCAATTATTTATCATTTTTTTTATCTTAAGATTATTTGAAAAATTTCAGGCGAAATATTTGGTAATTTAATATGTACTAAAGTTCCATCATTTTTCTTTTTATTGGTTGACAAAATTCTTCGCAAGTAAGGAGAACGATAATGTAATATAACCATATGGGCACGAAATATTTTTATATAAGGATCATTACCAACTTCAATAGTAATATCATAATATTCTTCATCATTTAAAATATCAAGTAAATTTTGTGATAATTTTGGTAACAATATATCAGCCATTATTTATTTTTTTATAAATTAAATAAAAGGAAAAGGAGAAATGAATTCTAATTCCGTGGATTGTCCAACACTCCAACTTATTATTGTATTCTGCCTAACGTTACATTTATGGCACGTGACTAAATTTTGTTACAGCGAAATGGCGTCTCCTATTTACATTTTAAGAATGCCCTTTTCACTAAATGTTTCAGAGATAATTTTCATTACTGGTATTATTTTAGCAATTTTATGGCTATACTAATTTTCGCCACTACTTCCATTGATTCTGGATGAAGAACCGGGTCCGATTGAACAACATCTGGAAATTTTTTCGATTTGTAATCATCCGGACCCATGTCTTCTGCTGTCATTATTTGGAATCCGTGCTAATTCCACGTCGGACCCAATGGGAACCTGGGGCGAAAATTATATTATATCCTTATTTTATTAAGTAGTTTAGGAAATTCAAAATGAATTCAGAAATGACGTCATTTCGTAAGGTAGATGATGTACATTTGTAGTTATTCATTTCCTAAAATGGATGATGACGGATGGTATAATCCTAAAATTTAAATGACGTCATTTCTGGCCATATCGATTTTCTTTCCTCACCCTTTCGCATTCACCAAGGGCAACATCTGCAACACCCATTATAAAACAATATTCGGAGTGTTATAATTCTGTCAATTTATCGGTGAAACTTAAAATATTTAAAATTTATTATATATACACCGGTTGTCTTTTTTTCACCTTGAAGTTTTGATCACCCTGTGTATTTTGTCCATTTTCCTTATTCAATTATTTGTCCAGACTTCTTTTCTGACATTGAATCTTGTTCTCTATACTCTGAAAAAAGAATCACTCAAATAGTTGGCGCCACGAAACAGTTTGAGTGGTAGTAACTATTCTTTGATTTGTTCAACTTAACCCATTATCCATTTATCCATTATCAATTGATTGAGAGTTTTCTTTGTCATTCCTCTTTCCTTTACGTCCTTACCCTCTTTTTAATCTGTTTTGATGGTTTCTATAAGTTTTCTGAAAGTTCACATTTTGCTCATTTCTTCGTTAACTTCAAAAAATCGCAACCGATCTTTGACCTTCTCGAAGTACTATGTCATCATTGATGAAAAATCATCATGTTTCAATTGTTTAATGATAATTTTTCATCATGATTCAACTGATTCATGATGATTTTTCACCATGTGAAATGAAAACTTTTCATCATGTGACGAGTTTCTTACCAATATACTGGTTTCTTATAATACAAATTTGGAAATTTTAGTTTTTATTCTGGTATTTGCTATTATCACGTTTATAAAATTATAAAATACATTGCAGTCAACTACAATAATGGAAATAATCGCTACCACCCGGTTAAGATTAAAATCCTAGACGTGCCAATCTTGTTCGTCCAGTCGTCTCTACAGTCTACACACACCCTCTTTACTACTTACTACCTTATCCTCCCAAAAAATAAAAATAACTTAAAATACAAGGAAAATGTATTATCTAACATTATAGAAATCTAATATATTCCCCGAAATATATATTATTCCTAATACCTTTTTCACCAAAAAATCTACTATCCAAAGAATTGAATAATATTATCTAACCTATTTTTAATATTTTTATTTTTTTCGTGATATTATATTCTTTTTCACAATTTTACATCGTTGGGATCAAAATTTGTTCTAAAATTTGTGAAAAATAAAATTTCGACAGCCAAATAAAATGTGTATTGCTAAATATCACCGCTGCCAGCGATTGTAGAATTTTGGGCAGAATTAAAAACGTCATGAAACTCTGCCCGTTAATATTTACTAATGCTAGTGCGGTGAAAATCACCTACGGTGAGTTTTAGGCATTTAGCAATTCTCAAATAAAATATTTGTAAATCGATAAATGTTGATGAATTATAATGAAATAATGAAAATACTCCAAATATCAACTATTAGTCTTTAAATGTTGTTTTACTCAATAAAATGATATCATAATATTTTAATTTTTAATATAAACGTTGTTTTAGTTTAGTTTTATGTTTATACATGTCCATTGGTCAAACGTTTCGTCATCAAGTCCACACAAAGGACATCAATTGCTCAAAGGTAGATAATTCTTCTAATAAAAATTTTAATTTTAACGATAACTTTCTTGAACTTTAATTAATATCAATGTAATGAATTTCTGTTATACGATATTTACTAGATTTAAAAATTCTTCTAAACCTTTAATTTGACTAACTTCTATTAAAACTTTCTTAATTTTTTTTCAATAATAATATAATTCCATCATGGAATTAAATCGAGTTAAAATTTGTAATTTTAAACGATAAAAGATAAATTCGAATAATACTGTATGTATTTTTACATATAGGTTAAATTATTATTTAATGTGCTGTAACTTTCTCAAAATATTAAATTATTATAAATAATGTTCTCACATAACATTCCCCAAAATATTATTCAACATTAATTTAAAAAATTTGACGAGGTAAAATATTCAATTTTTGATCATTTAATGTATTATAAAAATTAATCAAATTTTGCGAATCTGTAAAAATTGTTGCTGTATACTACCGCGATTAATTCACTTCATAGTGATGAAGGCAATTTTCTACATTCTTTGAGAAAAAAAGATTGTACTTTGTTATTTTCTTCAAAAATAAATCCACTAGTTATATTACAATTTTCACTTAATTAACGATCCATCCGTCAAATATTAAATTTGATCGCTATATTTTTAATAATTCATTTCTAGTTGGAGAAGGTTCAATCTATTTTAAAATTAATTATTATTTATTATTAATAATGGTTATTTTGCTAAATTTGAGCTACCATCGTAAAAACTATTTTTAAAGGGTAAAGATTTCGCATAATCCATAATATAATTAATTGCTTAAATAAAACTACCTAGTAAATTATTACTGTATTTTCTAATACTGCCTCTAGCTATAATAAAAACATCATCTCTTTTTAGCCGTAATTATACAAGGCGTTTGATAATTATCATAAACACAATATTTAGATAGTATATTATTTGTTTATGGCGTTGTTTTTTGGAGTAAGAACGCGATAAGGCACGTGCATTTATCAGTCAAATATTCTGTAAACCAATCAAATTTTAATATTTCGTGCATGATGTTCAAAGCCATAGGCAATAATAGACAACAAAATATAAATATTATTATATGAATTAGTAAACAACTAAGAAAAAAATAATTTAATGGCATATTGATATTTCTTACGATTATTGAGAATCCAAATCACGGGTATGAATAAAATTTGTTATAGAATGTTTCCAGATATAAAATATATCAATATTATATAGTACCATATTCTAAGAATTTCAAATTCCAATTAAATATACCAGTATTACATTTTTCTTAATCAAATAATGTTCATTTTAATCAATCTTCTTGTCAAAAAGTACCATACATACGCTTCTTTTGTTTAAAGGCTAATGTTTAATCTTCCACTTGATTTAACTCACTGCGAAAATGATAGGCTAGGCATGATAAAGGGCGCACATAAAATAAAAATTCCTAAATTATATTTCGGTAACATCTGTTTAACTTAATTGTCTGACATGATATGTAAAATTTGTTATTTTAGGCACGGAAGCAATCTTACAAGGTGTGGGAGTCAGTTCGAAGTTTTAATGAATTAGGGTTTTATTTAGCATTTGTGTTTAGCAAAAATCACTAAAAAGGTAAAAAATCAGGCGAAGTAGCTAAACTTATGATACGGATTATCATACTTTGAGAGAAAAAACAACGTATTATCAATCCTTATCGTAACAAAATTTAGTCTTCAGAAAGTTGTAATTAACCGTGACTAATAATTGTAGATTTGAGAATAAATATTAAAGAATCTTCTTTATGCTAAACGATAAAATTAAACTTGGTGTCCATTATTCCGACTTATGACTTAAAGACAAGTGGAATGAAGTCTCCCCATGTATGGTTGTTATGGGTCAATGCAAGCGTTGTAGTATTGTAGATCTATTAAACCGTCTCCAAAGAAGGATGTATATACTTTCCAATACTGATGATTTAAATCTTCTGGATCTAATAATCGTTGAATTGATAGTCACTTTAATTTGTCAAATAATGATTATGAATGGTCATTAAAAATTTATTATTAAACCTATTAAACCACGATTTTCTACATCACATCCGATCAATGAAGCTCATAACTCATGAATTGCCGATCATTTATCGATCATCACTAGTGCCGTTATATTTTTTTTTTTACTTCATTGAAAAATTTCATATATCAGAATATTACAGAAATTTACTGAAAATCTTATTTATATCAAATTTTAATTAAATAAATTTTTATCCAAATCAAATCATTACTGGCCAACTTTCATAAGTAACAATCTTTTTTAATTTTTAATAAGCAAATATTATAATTAGTTGAATTCTTTACAAGTAAAAAACCTGTATTAATGAGCGCAAATATTGTATTATTTTTTTCATAGATTATATATGATATAAAGAATATCTATGCAAAGTTTAAACTTCTGCCATGCATAATTTATCTTCTGCCATCAATTTTTAGTGCGATTATTCGATTTTATCACATAAATCACATAATACATCTATTAATTTTGCTCTAATTGAAAATTTCAGATATTAATGTATCTTCAAATTTTATTTATAAATTTATATTATTTTAACTTTTACATTTAATTTTTTTTAACCAAATCCAAGCATTATTGGCCAAGTTTTATAAGTAGTTTAATTATTGAGCGTTAAATGATCGGCAGGTGATAAAAGCTGAAAGCATGTCCGCCCTGTTTCATGTGTGTAGTATGCAAGATTGTTGTATAAGTATAGCACACAATATGAAGCTCTTATTGATTGTTGGGTCAGAGAAATTAAAGATAATCATCTTTTTCATATTCATCCAATAAACGATGTTCCAAAAAAAAAATGAAAACGAACACATTTTTATGGCGCAATCTAAAGTATTATAATTCCTGACACCATATTTTTTCATAATTTTGGACATTTTCCAGACATTTTATAGGTATACTGGACAATTTCCGAACAATTTTGGTGACAAATTCTGAATATTCTTTTTTCATAGGGTAGTTTTATGCAGTTTTACGTTGAATCTGATTCGATTTGATAACATGCAGACTGTCTTTATTGAAGATTACTAAAAACAATCACTAGAGAGTCTCTTTAATATGTGGGTTAGAATATTTATCGTGAATCGCATAAAAATAACCATTGTTTTGGAAATAGTGGAGATACATGACATAATTTGATGTATGCACTGTATGCACTTGGAAGATTATTTTCATTTAAATTAACGAATTCGGTTAAGTGAAAATCATTAAAAATTACGAATTCAATTTGGAATCACAAATGTTGATCCCACAATTTTTAAATAACCCATCTGTCCTCATCTCAGCGTTTTGATAAGATAATTTCTCATATTTTTCGCAAATATTTCTCAATTGTTTGCTAAAAATTTGCAATGACAGACTACGATCCATATAATGATTTCTGGGGAGATTTCCTTACAGGAGTCGTAGTGACCATTATAGCCACACGAATAAGTGATAAAACTAAGGATGAGAATGATGGTTGCAATAATAAAAAGACTAAGAAAAAGAACTACCTTGATATTTTGGATGACTTTATAATTTTTGGTTCGCTTCATGCCATGAATATTTATTATTTCTTCAAGTGGTGGAGATATGAAAATAAATTTACCAAAGCCTTTGGGGTCATTATATTTATCTATTCAATTTTCTTCTTATTTTTTGCGATTTTTTTTAATGTTAAAGATGTTAAAGATGAGAAAAAAAGGGGGTTTATGAGGGGACACAAATGTCTTATTTTATTTATCACAGCGCTTCTTTTCTTTGTTAATCCAAGTTCTATTAAACAAATTGAAGTCCCTAATGAATTTAGCATGAATAAGAATTTTCACAAAAATTGCGAGGTTGGTAATTTATTGAAATGGATTGCAGTATCATTCTTAGCGGCTGCATGGATCCTTTTTCTGTCTATTTGGTACAATCGATCGAACGAATGGTGGAACGAATTGTGGAACAAACAACGGTGGATTATACAGTTGAACATCAGAAAATTCGTTATACTTATTTTTCTTATTATTGCGATTTTAATTCAATCTGTCAGGAGTGGTTTAGTATTAAGTAATAATTTTTGGCAAACAAAAATCACAACAGCTCTTACTATAGTGGCAATAACCAGATTAATTGACATTTACAAAAATGGTGGTTCAAGTTTGTATGCGGAAATATTTTGGGGGAAAGATGTGGATGAGTCTACAAATCCATGATTTACATATGATAAACTAAATATTTGACGAAATATTTTTCTTTGTGTCCAAGATATAGATAAGTCAAATATATTGTTAACCATTTTAATTGCATTCCTCAAAAAATGGAATGAGAAAGCGAAGATAACAGCAGCAATAACCTTATATTATTTATTAGTGTAGAATACTATTTCAAGTATCATCAAACATGTAATTTTATTAATAAAACTATGATACCATTTCAAACATAAATATCTAATTACCGAATAATGGTAATAATGTAATATTACAAAAATTGATTATCCCATTCGAAACCGGCTGATCGGCAAAAGATAATCTTTAATATTTAAAAACTTTTTTTGACTTTCTTAGGATCTTTTCGACTTTGATTGATAGAGGTAAATAAATATAATTTTATTTTTTTTATAAAAAAAAAAATTTTTTCATGAATGGCGTCTTATTTTTTTCAGCTTCGGTCTAAAATTAACTTTATAGAAACGTTTTACTAACGTTTCTTTTTTTATGTAGGAATTACCAGCGAACTTTAAGGTGAAAAAGAGTTGGAACTTATTTCTATCTTTTTTTTTAATTTAAGAAACGTTAACGTTTTTCTCATTATTTTTTTTTTTTTTTGTAGGGCACCGGCTTGAACGAACCAGCTTTATGGTAAGAAAGAGTTTTTTTTATCTTTTTTTTTTTAATTTAAGAATCGTTTTAACGTTTCTTTTCATTATTTGTTTTGTAGGACGATACAAAACCGAACTTTAAGGTAAGGGGGAAGGAGAAATTTTTTACTTTAAATTTAAGAAACGAACTGACGCTTCTTTTTCATTGCTTTATTTTGTAGGACGCTGGCTTGGACACAAACTGGTCTTTAAGGTAAAAAATGGGGAAAGGGGGAAGGAGGAAGAGGATTTTTTTATTTAAATATAGGAAACGAACTAACGTTTCTTTTCATAGTTTTTTGTAGAGCGCCGGCTTGGACTATAAGGAGGGAAATTCGGTAAGGAAGTTCTTGACTTTTTGTAAATAATTCTTTTCAACGAAACGTATAACATTCCGTTTTTTTTCTTCTTTTTATAGGCTGCTGGTTCTTCAGGGTCTTCGAACGCATGGATGTAATGGAGGTTCGAAATTTTTTTTTCGACTTTGAGACTTGGGTCTGGTAAGTTTCTATTCGAAAATTCGAAACGTTTTTTTTTAATTTATTTTTTTAATCTCTCTTTTTTTTTGTATGTATTAGTTCTTTCGGCTTTAGGACTTGGATATGCTGATCTGGTAAGTTTCTATTTGAAAATAATATTTTTTTAGTTTTCTTTTTTAAAAAATTTTATCTTTTTTTTGTAGGTACTTCGGCTTGGACTCGGATATGCTGATATGGTAAGTTTCTAATCGAAACTTATTTGTAATAACATTTTTAATTTGTTTTTCTTATTAAAAATCATTATATCTTTTTTTTTGTAGGCATCCGGTTCTTTTGGCATTTAACTTTGGATGTTGGTTTCTTGGACTTTTTCAGTTGGATTACTCGACGTTGTGATTTCGGTGTTCTTTTTGTAGGATGGTACCTTGCTGTAGATCGGCGGCTTAGAATGAATTGGTCAGTTTCGGAGCAAATCTTTGCATCGAAACTTTTAAAATTTATATAAATATATATATATTTATTTTGATTTTTCTTTTCTTTTTTGTAGGTATCGGTAAATTGAGCTTCCTGGATCCTGAGACGATATGATCAGTAAGTTTCGAAATGGTTCATTTCGAAACTTTTTTAAAGTTGTTTTATAATTTTATTTTGAAAATACTAACCATTTCTTCTTTTGTCTATTTTGTAGGTCTCTTCAATTTTTGGGTCAGCTTCTTTTGTTTTATTCAGTCCATCCGACATAATTAGGGGTAAGCTTCGAAGTTCTACTTCGCTTCGAAACTTAAATTTTTTTTTGTTTTTCTTTAGAAACGTTAACTAACGTTTCTTGTTGCTTTTTTTTGTAGGATTCAGGATCGGTTATATGGGGTTTCGAAGGCATATACCTTCGAATTTATTATTTTTTTTTAACGAAACGTTTTACAAACGTTTTCGTTTTTTTTCTTTTGTAGGTCCAAGACGCCCATTTAGAAGGCTGGACTCCTATTTCAAAGGTATATATATACCTTCGAATTTTACTTTTTTTTTTATTTTAACGAAACGTTTTACTAATGTTTTCGTTTTTTCTTTTGTAGGTCTTGTGGCTTGGACGCGGGTTTAAAGTAAGTGTTTTTTTTTCTCTTTCTTTTTACTTTTTTCAACGAAATGTTTATTAATTTTTCATTTTTAATTTTGCAGATGGCTCTTCGGGTCTCTCTGGACACAGAATTCGTGAAGTGCTTTTCATCTATTAAAAAATTTATTTTAACTTTTTTGTTTCTTTTTGTCTTCAACCTGGAATCGGATTTCAATTTTTTTTAAAGCTTTTTTCGAAACTTATTGAAAAGAGACTTATTTTTTTTATTATTTTTTTGTAGGGACTTCAGCTCCGACTTAGATACCGGATTCCCAGGTATACTTCGAAACAAAATTTTTGAAACATTATTATATTATTTTTTTTTAACTTTTTATTATTATCTTGTAGGAATCCTGCCTTCAGGCAAAGTAAGTTTCGAAGTTTTAAAAATTTAAAAATTTTGAACTTATTTGTTTAAAGAAACAGTTTACTAGATACATGCAATTTTCCGAACTGGACCCTTTTCTGAAACATACAATATCTCGAATCCTAATATCTCAAATTCCAATACCCCAAATTCCAATTGAAACATGTCTATCCAGGTTACTTTGGTATGATCGTCCACAATCCCCTGAACGAACCCAAAAGACAAAAAAAATATTAGTAATTAATTAATGCTAAAGAAAAGAGGAAAAAGAAGAAAAGAAAAATTAAAAAGCAAAAAAATTAGAATGGGAAAAGATTATATCATTTATATGACTACTGTTACTATCGATTTGTGTCGGGGTCACGTGATAGTAACAGAAATTCGTGTCACGTTTATCGTAAAATAAAATGAAATAAAGTATATATGTAAAATTAAGAGTTATATGTATGATTTTAAAGTGTATATTTATTCAATGTAAATAATAACTTAAAATAATCAAGCAATACAATAAATAAATGCTAATACATAATAAATTTCATAAATAATATCAGAATAGAATATTGCTGCCTCTGCCGGCGATCTGCAATATTACCGAATAAACTATACTAAAATTTAACACTAAATAAACCTTAATCATCCCCTATTCCCCACTGTTCGCCCGCTCTATATATATTGTTCGAAAATTCGGTATAAATTATACTATGTATAAGTTAAACTTCATATAAATTATACCAAGTATAAATTACACTTAGTAAAAGTATAAGTTACACCGTTACACTGCGGATCGCTGCTAATTTCTTGAACTTTCCATGTGGCGCAGATCCGCGTAACACTACCTACCAATTTTCCTATCCCAGATATGTAGTACAAATCACGTGAATAGTATAAGCTACGTGAGTCAGCCAAAAAAATTACTATTAGTTCTACACATTTTTCCATGGCCGGAATTATTATAATGCCAGTCAGCGTCTAAAAAGGGAAATAAATTCCGGCCGGAATTATCTATAAAAGGAAAGAAATACATGATTATTTTGGTCAATTCTACGCACCTTTTTATGTCGGGGTCCTACTAGTAAGGCGCAGTAAGGCTGTAGAAAAAGCACAACAAAAACAAAAAGAACATTACAATAAGAAATTTAAACGAAAAAGCCGGATTTGAAATAGGAGATCAAGTATTGTTATATGACGCAGCAAAGGAAAAACAATGGAATGGAAAATTAAAAGAGAAAGGACCATATTATATTCACGACACAATTAGAAATGAGCATACAAAATTAAAGAATTAGACAGAAGGATTTTAAAAGCAACAATTAATGGAGAATTATTAAAGAAATACATTTTCAGCAAAAAAAAATAATAATTTTGTAAATACTATTTGATTGATTGAGCGGGTGGTCATAGGTTTACGATAAGATTCATTTCATTCGATATGGAATGCTTACGATAACTATTTTTTTTCTTTTTTACTAAGATTGGTTGTCAGAAAAAGTAATTGGTTTAAATATTATTGATTATTATAATATTCATTGTCGTACTACACCATCATTATTAGAAACACATTATATCAGTATCTCCTAATATTTTACAAATAACATTTTAATAACATAATATTTTAATGCATAATCCTAAGGGATTTAGTTATTGAAAAGTTTAAAATCATTTTATAAATCAAATAGGTAAATGTTATTATGAACAAAATGAATTATGGAAACAATTTTTGATTGAATATTCTTATGAAAATAGAATTGAAATTCTTAATATTCATAATTATGATAAAACATCAGGAATTAAGATATTAAAAATTCCTATAATAGGGCCACTTCATATTTCTTTGTTATGGGCGTGGTTTCTATAAAGAATGGTTAGTAGCTTAACATAATTGTAAATGCAATCATTGTTTTTTAACTATATCATTTGGGGTTCAAAAAAATGATATTAATGTTATTTCAGCATATTTATTCATAAATTAAAGTGAAAAGGGGGACACTTTGAAACACTGATTATCAAAAAAAAAAAAAAAAAACTTTAAATAGAATTAAAAATAATTTAAAGGAATTAAGAAATTTTAAATTATAATAATAAATATTAACTTCGAGGGAAGTCATCACATATTCTAGTTACAAGTCTTATTATATTTTCAAAAAATTTATTTATTTATATAATCATATACGAAAAAAAATGATCAGTATATTTTGATATTTAGAAATGTCTAATCACCAAAAACATATACGCTAATAAAGTTATAATCACAAATTGATCTTGGCTATTTGATTATAAAAATCATCTGAAGTCTATAATAAATTAATTCGTGATCACATATAGGATTCGGGGATAATAATTTTACTACTTTTAGAATCTCGCGTTTTTTACATACACAACTTCTTTTTTAAAGTCAAAACGTATGGGAATATATATCAACCAATTTACCATCCTTTCTAATTTTACGCTCACGCAGCCCTTACAAACATCCTTTTTAATTCCCTACACTCCGTAATATTGACTTATAAAAAATATTACCAACCCAATATGAGTATAGGCTACCTCATTTTCCTACTAATAAAATAAAGATCTGCCATTGACAAAATCCTCCTTACTAAAGAATTACATTTATATAACAAATTTAACATTAATTTCCCCAGATACGAAGATTTTAGATGAACACTTTCCTATAGTATGCGACATACCTAACCTTAACTTCTATGACGTTAATTCATTACGCTACGAAATTACAAAATATCACATGAGAGTACCGATCGGTGTTCTGACTTCCAAATGTTCTGGTCAAATTTAAAAAGATATGCGCAAAAAAAAATTATTATGTTTTTACATAAAAGTAAGATTATAAGCGCGTAAAAAAAATTTATTTATTACTAAAATGTTAAATGTAATTTATACTTACGTGCCCTACCCGTTAAAAACTTATTTACAATTTACTAATGAAAATTATAATTCACTCTTGAGAATTTATTACATTCCCACCTAATTGTTGTACGCTTTTTCAAAGTCAAAGCTAGAATTCTATATGAAAAATTGCACATATAGGGCAAATTTTACGCGTTTGGAAAATTTTCGCGCGTGTAGGGCTACTATGATCGATCTACAAAATATTTATTTACTTAGCATCTATGAAAGCTTGACGATATAATAAAGTTCGTAAGACGTAAGATATCTAAACAAGATAAAAAAAACGTTAGTATAATTGGACCATACTCTATAAAAAAAAGCTTCCAGAAAAGTGTTGGTATCATGCTACCAAGTGGTTCACCTAGAACTTGCACAATAAAGACAATTCTTTTTTTGTTTTTTATTTTTTTTGTTTCGTTTTTTTTGTTATTTATTTTTAAGTCCCCACTATGTAGTCCTTTGGTAAACCACTGATAATTCATGACACCAACTATAAGAGCCAGGTACATAGGCTAATCCTGCTCCAGGAAAGCCAGTTTCTCCTATATTCTTACTCCTCAGCTTTTTTTTTCTGTAAACCAGTATCATTAAAACTATGCTAAGCAGGGAGCGCAAGCTTACCTTTATTTATTTTTGGAGTTGTTGCTACCTCTTGGAAGTGCCTTCGACGCTACAACAGTGGTACCAACTATTGCACTGAGCGCTACAGCCTACAGCCACTCCAGCCTTATGCTGGAGGAACGGCCTTCACAACTCAAGTATAAACAACGTAAGGAAAATTTTATATTAAATATACTATTTCCCATAGAAAGAGGTGTATTTTTTTAGGAAAGGAACTTGAAGTTTTGAATATACTTTTCGTAAAGTAATAATATTTTTAATATTTTTATATTTTTTCGTAAAGTAATAATGTTTTTCGTAAGTAATAATATTTTTGTAAAATAATAAAATGTTAGAAAGACGTTTGAAGTTGAAAGAGGCTTGGAAAAAGTTTGAGGGTGTATATATACTTGTTAAAAACCTTTTTTGATACACTATGACTAATAACACTTGTTATGACGATATTACATCATTTTCTCTATTACATAAACTTTTATCAACTGCCTGATTATCATAAAAATCATTTTTACCCAATTACTATAATTTTTTTATATAGTTATTTGTGACAAATTATTAGGTGTATACTAAGCATGACTCATAATTTATTATAAGTAAAATATCTTCTGATATTTATCGCAACATCTTAGATGATTCTTTAAACGTGACAATAATGGATGATCTTTTAAGTGAAGCATCTTATGAAGTATACGGTAACAAATGTTTAGTTTCTATTATTAATTAAAACATTAGCCCATAATTTGGGATCCTGTACGTAATCACGAAATTTATAGACGCACGATCGAACAAGTTGACGATCCCTTTTCCTTTAGTATAACATAGAGAACATTATATACACTTTACCTCTCCCAGATGAACTTAATAGATTAACACTCGTAGTCATACACTAATTTTAGTACCTTGCAAAGGATGTAGTTTACCCCTTATTATAGAGACTTACGCCCTAAATGCGTTATAATGAACAATACTTCCTCAATTGTAAAAATTTCGATTCATTCACGTAATTATAATTCGATACCTAGGTCTCACAAATCAGCAGTTTTTACGACTTCACCTTTAAAAATATTATACGTTAATACTCGAAGGGTATTTAAACTTTTCGGTTTTCATCTTCTTTTAATAATTCTCCCAATTTTAATATCAACTTAACGCAAAATTACCAATAAATTGACATCCGACTGACAAAATTGAAGCTTAAATTGTCACTTAACGAGTTAACGTGACGCCTCACGGAACATTTAATGGATATCAAACATTTAAAATAACTTTTACAAAAGTCAAAGTTCATCCTGTTGTCAATAGTTCCTATGTTATCTCATGTCGGTGTCATCAAGCCTATTAGTAAGCATTTCGGGTTGATTGCTTTAGGAACAAGCGTATCTCCTTCCTGACGGGCTTTCTAGGCAAGTGTATCAGGCTATCAGCTATCACAACAAGAGGCGTCTAAAGAAACATCAACTGAGCGAACGCCTAAGGAAACATCTAAACCTGTCGCACATTTTAAATCCCCTACTACCTCTAGGCCTGTCACGCACACCTACCTTCCCTTTTTTCTCCCAAAGTGCGAACGTTATTAATGTTACAACTACGCTGGGGCTCCAGATGAGCAGGAATAGGATATTTTTTTCATTAATATATTAAACATTTTTAACGTTCTAGCAAATTTTAGCGTTAGTATTTTTTTTTTCATATCTATAATGCAGTAATGCAATAAAATTTATTTTCTGATGAAGCTATATTAGTAGCCGGAATTAACGTTAACTCTATCACGTGCAAGTGCATACCTCCTAAACTCGGGCCAGTTTGTATGTTAATATCATACACCCCGTGAATGACGTTCCATATAAGCACCCCTTTTTTGCACTTAATGCCGGCCAAGATCTTCATAATTCCGGCCAAAATCGCCATAATTCTGGCCAGGGCTGGGATCTATTTATGCTTACTAACCGCAAAATACCAATATTTCGATATGGATAAAGATTTCCTGCGACTTATATGTCTTCAACGTCAACTTCGATAATAGACAATCCTTTCTTTATACTGCAGTGCGGAACATCACCTTTCATTTTACTCTTAATTCCTTCACCTTTAGCCCCTACCTCTTTTTTATTTATTTTTTTTTACGAAACTAAAAAAATAAAATTTAGATTTTTTTTTCTTTCATAAAAATTTGCTTTTATAAACAAAATGGCACGAATTCTTGAATTGTACTTATTAGTCTTCGCTATTTTACTTGTGAATTTTATCTCTGATTCTCCAGTTGAATCCGTTACGAAACGTAGAGCTTTAAATTCTCGTAGTGAAGTATTACGGTAAGCAATTTTTTTTTCTTTGAGATTTTTTTTAATAATTTTTTAAAAAATTTTATTTAGTGTCGTAACCAAATTATATTATATATCAATGTACTGATGTTATACCATCTTTGAGCTCATATAAAAATAATATTATTTATGCTTTAGAAAATCGAATTGAATGAACTAAAGAAAAAATTTAATAACTATAAAATGTAATTTGTTTTGTAGATTTTACATTTCGATAATTTAAAATTATAATCACAATATAACAAAATATTCAAATAATTTTTTTTTTAGCTAAATTGATTCAACATTGCATAATAAATATAATGATACTAGCTTTTTTTAAAAAAGTTATTCCATTTACAGGTATATACTCTAAACGATTGATCTATTAATTTATTAGTGTCACTTTTATTATCAATATTCTTTTATTATATTGATCGTTCATTGGTCCTAAATATTTTTATTATTTAAAAATAAAACAAAGAATCTATCGTTCGTTACTTGGCATTACACATAAATACTTCATCTATCGGAATCACAATATTTTCAATTCCGATTATAACTCCGCGATCGAAAATCAAAATATTTTTTATTATTTAACAATAATTATACGGATAAAATATTATCAAAAATGTTAGTTATGTACATATCTGGTGAATTGATTAATTATGAACATTTCGAAAATCAAAAGTAACAATATATTATATGAAACACGCGCGTTTCAAACGAAACGCCTAAATGAGAATTGGATCAAGCGAGTTTTTGTAATAATTTATAATAATAATAAATGACAGTAATAATAAAAGAACTAATTTTAGAAACTTTTTTTTTTTTTAAAAAAAAAAATAAATTTTTATAATAGATCATATTCATTTTTAAAATCAATATATATATATATATATCGATGAATAATAGATTAATTCTCGAGTTTGAATTCAATTTAGAGTATATAACGTCATAATGTGACACAAAAGATTCAAAAATGGGATGATGATTTTTATTTTTAAATATTTGATATCTTTTTTTGGATTTTATTTCACTAAAAATACAATCACATAAATTAAAAATTTCTATTTCTTGACTTTTTTGTTTTTTCAATAATTATCATAATTAGATATTTATAACTACACGTTTCATCGTTTCAAGTATCGTATTATTCACTTTTTAGGTTATTACATAAATAGGGGTTTTTTAAAACGTTTGAGTACATATTATCAAGAAACTAGTGATTGTTACAAAATAAACCTAAAAATATTATAATGATAACGGAAATTTTTAAAATGCTGTAATGCATTTTTATTTCAAAAAAGGTTAAAAGTAATAATACACAAAATTATCTATAAAAAAAAAACAATATTTATTTATTAGAATAATATGAAAGTGCTTTTTTCTTTTAATGTTATTAATGATTAGCATTAAGCGTTTTAATGATTTATACAAATCCGCAAATAAGTGTCCATTGTGATCACATTTAACAATAATTGATATCCATGTATATATATGTAAAATTATAGGGGTTAGAATATAAATAGATTTAGGTTAACCTTTTTTGTTACCAGAATCACATGACAATTTCACGGGTCTTTGATCCGGATTTACGAATCCTTTCTTTCACGTGACAAAATCAGATTTAAAACGAGAGGGGAATTTTGTGATCATTCTTGCGTCATTTTGTAAACAATTGCGAATTTTTAGGAGATCATCATGATTGGATTTGCAGTGATTGTGTCATTGAAAAAAGATCTCCATTACAGCAATTTAAGATTTTTTAATATACATTAATTATCTCTATAATTATCATTTATCTATATTTGAAACATAATGTAATAATGATTGATTATTTAATCGGTACAGCCTTAACAGCCTAATTTACAAATTTATGATATTCTTTAATATTTACATGAAATATAGCATAAATATATCTAAAAAATACATTATTTTACGAATTTCATTCGTTAGTGAGTAAAAATTTCGGAGATTATTTAATTAATTGATGTCATTTCGTATCTTTTCCAGTTACTTTTTAGAGATTAACACGGGGTAAACTCAAACTAAATGCATCAAATTATTTTGGAATATTGATTTAAGAAGTTGATGTATAATCGTGTTTATCCAAAGTTCACGTATATATATAAAGATTATTTTCTTTGGATTGCTTTTTCTTAACATTGTTATCCTACATACAAAAAAAAATAAAAAAAAAAATTTTAAGGATAAAATGTGTTCTAAATAATAATGTCTCAATTATCATTAATTTTCATGATTTATTCGTTGCTCTTTTTTTATCCAATTTTTATAAACGCCGAAGAAAACTACAGTTCTGATAATAATCCTGAACAACAAAGGTTAAATGATAATGAATTTCAAATTATAGTTTATACTTATTATGTTGTAGGATCTTTAAATGCAATTGGATGTTCCTTCGTATTTTGTAAAACTTTTATAAAATGGATGTTTTGTAAAAAAAATAAAAATAGGTTAACAATGAGTTACAGATTACCTTTCTATACCGCCATTTCAGGTATTTATTGTTCGCTGATCACTATGACGTTAATTGATGCGATATATATAAATTTTTTTTCCTGTTTATTTAGATTTTGGAATTTTTATTTCTGGTGCGATAAATATCGTAAGTTTTCACTTAAGTCTAAAAAATATTAAAAATATTATAAAATACCAATTACATATTCTTTTAATGATCGTAGGCACATACGGCAATATATGCGAGAGTATGGGAACAACCAATGTGTACAATAGTAGGAGCATTATCTTGGTTTTTTGTTTCATTAAATTTATCTCTTTATGGTGTAATAAGGTATGAAATAAGATTTACTTCACTTTAAATATATACTTATTCTTACGTAATTAATTTTATTAGCATTATGACTTACATAAGAGTATGCAGAGATATTTTTTTTGATACTGGTAAATATGATTATAAATTATGGACAATTGTCTTCTTAATTATTACGATATTACAAATAATAGCCGGTCCATTTTATGGACCAGAAAAATATTGGTATGTTAAAAAAAATATATATTTAAATAACATTTTTTGATTTTTTTTTTTTAATCATTATAATAACCTTAATTAACCTTAATTAACCTTTTTATAATAATAATCTTTTTTTTAGGTGCATTGGGAAATCGAAAAATATTGTATTTTCAGTAACAAATTTTACTTTATATTTTATATTATTATTTACAACTTTAACATGTTATATGTTAATTTATAAAACAATTGAAGCAACTTTTGCTGAAGGAGGAGAAATTAATAATTATGATGATGAGAATAATGATAATAGGGATAATAGAAATGATAATAGAGATATTGAATATACAACAATATCTGATACAAAATGTATGATGGAGAAGAAAGCTTCAGTTAAAATTGCTAGTTATATTTTAGTATTCTTTATTCAGGTAAATAATTTATTTGAAAAATAATTATATATATATATATATATATATTTTGAAATGTGACGATTTGCGATTAAATTTACAAATACTAATTAATAAATGTATTTAATAATAGTGGACTCCAGTACAGGTTTCTAATATCGGATCGTGGTGTAATGTAAGTTTTCAATATTATATTGATATTATTATATAGTATAAGATAAACTACAATACGCTAAGCAATTGAACCAACTTTTTTTTTTAATTAGATTGATAAAACATGGATTTATGTTGTTGCTGTGATAGGTAATTAATTTATAAAACACGATATTAAATAAAAATTACTTCAATTTTATTTATCAAAAAAAAAAAAATAAATCTTTTTTTTTAATTAGGAGTTAATTTAGGTGGAATTGGAAATGCAATACAATATATGATCAATGAAAGAAAAACTTTTCATCCTACACAATACAAGTCGACTACCTCATTACATATCAAAACAAAACTAGATGAGGAATCTTATCCAAGTCCTGCTTCAATTGAATTAAACGATTTACCCATTAATATAATTATCGAAAATAATAATGAAATTAATGTTGAAAATGTTGAAAATGAAATTGTTTGACTCAAACTTCTTTCAAATAATTTTTAACATAATGAACGGTTAAAATATTTAATATACACTATAAATCTAAATTTAAGCTATTATTATTGTATCATTCTTTATTTATGATAAATTAATCTAAGATATGTATTTTTAATGTTAAAGAATAAAAAGTATTAATTATGTTATATGGATTCATGTCGTTCGTTTTAATATTTTAATTTACAAGTCATAATAAGGCCGGGAGTGTCATATATTGGTGTGGGTTTAAATGTTTAATAACGAAAATAATAAAATTTCACCAAAATTATCTTGAAATTTTCTTGAAGCGTAAAAAGTACAAAATGATTATTTATTACCGTATTACTTCAGTTACTAGGACAATATTAATTAATTACTCATTTAATTAATTACTCTATTAATTAACTGGTTAAGCAATTCTTATTTATTTGTTTGTAACATGTCATAAACTATTAAATAATTTTATATTTTATCTTGGTAAATTCAAATAAGGAATATTTCAATTATTTGATTAAAAATACTTAAAATACTTAAAAGTTTTTAATGTTCGTATCTTTAAATATAGATTGGGTCTGGTTATCATTATACTACTTGTTATAAGCTCCAAAACAAACATGACATGAATCACAGACTCACATTATTATTAAAAAGTGGACTAAAGTTAGATAGAGAAACTTCTTACACATTTGACGGAAGTTGGCACACAGTATTTGCATTTCACGTCTCCAATTTATTATGTTGTTCGTTCAAACAATGACATAAAAGTTTCGCATCAGCAAATTTTAACTTCCCTATTTGTGCTATATAAATTTGGTACGGCTTATAGTCATAAAGGATACCTAATGTTAACTTATAATTTGAAAGTAAATTTCATCAATTAGAACAGATTCAAATTAACGTATACTTTCATAAGAACCCAATCTTAAGTTTGGCATTCAAGTTAAATAATAAAAATTTATTAAGTATAAATTAGTTAATGGGCAGACAGGCAGACATGAAATCTTGTTATTAGTAGCACGTATTTAGATTCCGCATTAACTCTTTATATAAAATACTTTTTCTAAGGGGTTCTCAAGCGACTCCTCAATGGGATAACATAGTGATACTCAATCATTACGACCAATTTAAATAAAGATCACGATTATATTTTGAGCAACCACTCTTCGCTTACTTAATTATCATATTGTCCTTCAAAGAGTCGTAATAAATAAAGAAAACTATGCAACAAGCAAAAGAAATATCTCCAGCGGTAATTCAAAATGCTCTCTTTGTAGATTACACAAACCTTCAAATGTTGATGAGTCTCGGACTGTGTAACAATAAATTAGGCAAGAATAATGCGAAAATGTGCCGGAGTTTATCTGTTAGGTATGGGGAAGATTTCTATCCAGAATTCTGGTGATGCCTCTTTTTTCATATTTTCAAATTTTTGGACGAGATGGTTATGATCCATATGACTTACTTGGTTGCTTGTGGTGCTTGAATTATCCCATCAATGATAATTGATAAATTTTAGCCAATCAGCGTAACCCTATGGAAAAAAGATGTTTTAGACCTCCAGTTTTATTTATCGGAATTGAAACTCATTTAATCTTTCATGACCGATATTCCTGTAATTAAATTGAAAAGAAACGACATACAGAAAAATTTTAAGATTATCCTTTACGGTAAATTTAGTTTGTTTAGTCTTCAAAATAAATTTTCGAAAATATTCAATCACGAGAATTTATATTATGGTGGAGAAAAATTTTGTTTACCGTAAAAAGAATAAGTTTTTCAGACGATTTTACTTTCCTGAATATATTTTATTTTTATTTTTTTTTAGCTTTATTTAAATTCTAAATACGATTTTTTTGGTAAATATGAAAAAAGTAAGTTTATCTATTTTATTGTCGCTGTATTGCTGAAGCTATTCTTTTTAATTTAACAAGATTATTCTAATGAATAAATATACATATATATAATCAATTGATTAGAATATAACATCAATAGAACATAGTAATTTTCTAAGCTTTATTAATAATTATATTTTAATTCAAAAAAACTCATCGCTATTAATTTTTCTACGCAATTTGAAACACTTCACATTCTTCTACACCAAAGACATTTTCAGTTCTAATCGATTTTTCATAATATTTTTTTGTACTAGAACAACATATATAATCCCATATAATAAGATCACCTCCACCAAATGATGGACCAGATAAAGACCAATTATATATAGCAAATTTTTCATTCACTACGCGGCTTAAAACATAATTGTCAATTCTATCATTGGTAAAAGAAAATATAAAACTATCTTTAGTAGTTTCATAATATCCATCAGATCGATATTCAATTGGATTATACCCTCCAAGAATTTCGTTACTGTCTTTCACTTTAACACATGTTACTGTGCGTGGTTTATTATCGCAAATTTCGTGAAATTTACCTCGTGAATGTCCGTCACGAGATGCGCGAAATAATAATTTAAATTTATACGAAGAAGCCAACTTGTCCGTGATTTCTAATCTATCGATCCATTTTGAGATTAATTCAATATGTTGATAAGTTATAATTTTTGAATCAATAGTTCTCTTATTTTCATATTCCGAAAGACCTAAAATATGTTCCGATTCATCATCAAGAACTGGAAGACTTGAAAAAGTATATTCCGATTTATCAACTGGTTTGCTATTAGGATCTGAAAGACTTAAAAAAGCTTTTAATAAATCTTTATATAAATTTTTGGGAAATATTTTTTCATAAGGTAACACTTTTTCTAAAAATTCTTTAGAAGTTAAATTATAAAATTTAATAATTTGAATACATCCTTGTAAAGTATTCTTTAAGCTTTTGAAATCATCTTTTGAAAAGTTTGTAAGGTCAGAGGGAAGGTTGGGATTTTGAGCAAGACCCCATTTAAGAACATATTCCCAAATTTGAATTTCACTCATTTGACGATTATCACTTTGAATAATTGTAACTAAAAGTTTTTCTGGGATTGAAGAAAAATTTAAAGAATTAAATATCTTATCTGGTCCTTTAGAAATTAAATCAGTACAATATTTTTGAAGTTCTAAGAAAGAATCATTCTCATATCTTGTTTGATATATCAAATTAAAATTTTGTTCCATCCATTTTGTTTTATTTTTAATCAAATAAAATTGTATATATGTGATTAATTCTTGAAGATTAAGTTCGTTAGCAGCAACTAAAACTTTAATTATGTCTAAAGTATCATATTCGTTCAAAGAAAGTTTTCCACCGTATATATACCTGAATTAAAGAAAATATTCTTAAATTAAAATATTATTAAAATAAAATTTATTTAATCGTCTTTAAAAATTAATTACCTTAAAATTATTTGAAAAATTTCTGGTTAAATTTTTGTTAATTTAATATGTTCCAAAGTTCCATCATTTTTCTTTTTATTAGTTGACAAAATTCTTCGCAAGTAAGGTGAACGATAATGTAAAATAACCATGTGAGCACGAAAGATTTTTACTTAAGGGTCATTACCAACTTCAATAGTAATATCATAATATTCTTCATCATTTAATATTTTTAGTAAATTTTGTGATAATTTTGGTAAAAGTTTATTATCATCCATTTTTTATAAATTTTTTAACGTTAGCGAAAAGAAAAAGTATTAATCCAAATACGTAAATGTTAGACCTTATATAATTTTCATTGTACTCTGTGCAACATAACATTATATTATGGACAAAAATAAATATGGTTAAACCTGCGTGTAATTCATGTGTAACAAAGAATATATATTTATCTCGTTACTGCGTATGAATAAAAGGCGGTGATTGAACAAAATAAATTTTTGGTTAAGCGTTAAATAATGAAAATCATAAAAGGTATAAAAAAGATAATTGTAACATGTTCAAGATATTTGTGAGTTTCAGTGCAGTAATAACTAACTAACAAGTTTATAGTATTACTGATAATACAAATTGAAATAATATGATATAAAATTTGGTATCATCCTTCGCCCATAACAAGTGTCGACAAATAAAGAATTTTTTGATAGTATCGAGTAAAATCTTTTTGAATAAAATACAAAATAATCAATACGGAATTAATGAAAAAAATTTCAGAAATAATTTTACATTAAATTTATTTAAATTGATTTTTAAGTAACCAATCAATTCTTTTGGCAAGTTCGTAATTTTTTGAAATATCGTAAATATTATGTAACATGAATATTCTTTAAATAAAGTAAACGAGTTTTTCATACCGAAATTAGATTTTTAGGTAGTAGTGGTAATTGTACATCCTCCGTCTAAGGAAAAAAAAAATACAAGAGAATTTTCTTATTTACACGAGATTATAAAATTTCATTTTTTATTTTATTCGTATCGACTAATTTTGAAAACCGTAATAATTAAATTTACGCATCATTATTTATAGAAAATATAATAATTTATAAATCTATAAAATTCAGTGGGGAAAATTTTATATTAATCATGTGTTTATTCATAAAATTTTTCTATCTGGCGTTATATAAAAAATGTATATCATTTAATCTTTTGGCGTAAGTAAAAATGTCTCAAGTTTTTAATAACCAAGTTAGTATACTACTTTTGATTGTAACAGTATTCCAAACGACCGAACTATTATATATATTTGACATTGCGTATACAAAGTTCCGATAATTTTATTCGTTAACGTTATAAACCAATAAATTGGTTTAATCCATTCTATATACATAAGAATCAGAAGGACAAAAATGAAAAGACCTTAAAAAAGGTATTTTAAAATTCTAAAGCAGCTCATTGTTTTACGTTACTTCGCATTCAATCGATGATAAAATTACGTTACCGTACACGTTATAATAGTTTTTAATGTAAATGTGCCATAATTCAGGTCATTGAATCACTTTGAGATTTTTGATGATAATAACAATAACTTATAAAAATTGAGAAATTTGAGAATTATTACTTACCACAATTACAATGAGCATAGCATTTGTAGCAATATTCACAAGCTTCTTTATTACTTATGGCGCC